AGTCCGCAAACGGACTTAGCGCGGCAACCGACTCGGAGCGCCGAGCGGTGCCGAAAACGGCCGAGAGCCACCGAACGCAATCGCGGCGTCGGGGCGCCGTACTTCCCGAACGCTCCACCGCTCCATCCCGGCGCGCGCGATTGCCGTCGCGTATACCCCCGCTACGCCGACACGCCACCGCGGGCGTATATAAACCGAGCAATATTGCTAGGTTTTCAGATTCCACCGTGAGCCAGCAAACCGATCCGACCGATTCTCCGCTGCTCACGGATCCCGAAATCCCCCAGTCGAAACAACCAGGAGGTAGAGAGTATTCTCGGCCTCTGCCGAGTAAAGAATCTAGACGGTTGACTCGAATTTCCATTATACATATTTCGAACACCTGTGACACCGGAGTGAACCAGGGTAAGAGAGTTCTTCTCTTACTCGCCAAGGGTCTTGGCCACCCGGTGCCGCCTCCCGCCTACACGAATCGATGCGCCAGGAAATAGAGAGTACTTCTCTATCTCCGCTAAGGGTCTTAGCCGCTCGATATCACGTCCCATAGCGATCCAGCGCATTATGCGCTCACTGCCGCCGTTATCCAAACCTGCGCTACCGCGCCGAAATACCTCTGCGAGCCCGCACGCCCGCCGATCCGCGAAACTCCGCGATCTCCGTAAATCATCGCTTCACCAGGCGTCCGCACGCTCCGTGATATCTATATTGTAACCGCGTCCGCGACCTATTACACGTATTTAGCGACTCCGCGCTATCTGCATTACACCGCCATTATAAACCGCGCCCGCGATCTATCACACGTAGCCATCGACTCCGCGATCACTGTAATCTGTCGCTATCGTAGCAGCGACCGCGATCTTTTGTACATATGCACCGCTCCCGCGAGCGTCTCCATGTATTCACGCGTAATTGAATAAATACTTTATTTTGTTGTATTATATTTTAACCGAGTCTTGTGTCTTCCTCCGCGCCTACTCCGAACTCTGACCAGCCGCGAGCTAACTCCGCGCTTCGGAAGCTAGGTTGTTTTATGGCGCCCGAACAGGGACCCGACCGAAAGGCTCAGGCACAAGACGCGGGTAAAATGAAGGCGTATTATTATCGGCTGTCCAAAGCCGAGCTAGTAAGCGAACTCCAGACCCTCGGGCTCGACACCGAGGGCACGCTCGAAGAGCTCCGCAACCGATTAAGCCAATTTATCGACGCCCATCCCGAGATGTTCCAGAAAACCGCGTTAGAGAACGACCCCCCGCCGCTTCTGACACTGACCGTGCCTGCCGCGACATCACCGGTGACCATAATTCCGGCCGACCGCCCGGCGCCCCCCGTACCCCCCACCACCCAGATCATGGACCAAATGCGAAAATGGGGACTACACTTTGAGGGAAAGGATTCCTGGGCGTTTCTCGAGCGCATCGACGAACTTCGCGCCGCGTACGAATTCTCGGACGAACACTGGCTCCGCGGATTGCCCGAACTCCTGCGAGGAGACGCGCTCCTCTGGTACCGTAACAACCGCGACGGATGGTTCGATTGGCACGACTTTATCGCGGACTTTAAGGAAACATTCCTACCGCGCCGGTACCGATTACAGCTCGTTAACGAGATCCGCGACCGTACGCAGCGGGACGGGGAGGCCTACATGAAATACGCGACACACTTACTCACGCTCATGCGATGGGCAGGGGGATACTCCACCGAGGAGCAGGTCGAGCAATTATACGAAAATTTGCACCCCGACTACCAGAGCCGCATCTGGCGAGGCGACGTTAATAGCCCTCGCGACCTCCAGCAGCGAGCCAGCGAATACGAAAGGCTTCAGCAAAATCGAAAGAAACGCGCTCCCACGAAAGCCGATCCCGCCGAAACGCCAATCGCCGCCGCCGCGTACAACCGACGAGAATGCTGCTGGAAGTGCAAACAACGTGGACACACCCGATTCGATTGCCGTCGACCCGCGCGGAAATTCTGCTCTCAGTGCGGCAAGGACGGAGTTCTCACAAAGGACTGCCATCCCCCGCCGGGAAACGACGCCGGAACCGCGGAAACCCCGGCCGCCCCCCGGTCCTCGACGTAAAATTTTTTCCGCGGCCGCACCTCGACATCCAGGTAAACGGGAAACCACTTATGGCGCTACTCGATACAGGATCCGAAATCTCATTTATAAACGAGGACACCGCACGACTCGCGCAAAATCTAGGCTTCGCGATCGTCCCCGACGAAGAGGAGGTGCAACGGCCACCGCATCGTTCTCCCCGGCCGCGTCCGGCTACCCGTCCAAACCACGAGACGCACGATCTGGCATGACTTTTCAATCATGCCGAACCTAGCGAGCGCAGTACTCCTCGGAGTAGATTTTTGGGCAAAAATCGGTCTCGCAGTACCCGCGCCAGCCAAACCGATAACGCCGCAAACCACCCCCGGGACGGCCGCGACCGAAGGGATTGCACCACGCACACAGACCGAGGAAATACGGTTACGAAAATTCCTCGAGCAAGAATTACCGCTTTTCGAAACCCTCCGCGGGCCCACCGACCGCACGGCGCACGAGATCCACCTGAAACCGACCGCCAGTCCGATCAAACAAAGATACCGGCCCCGTAACCCGGCCATGCAGGTCGTTATCGACAGCGAAGTCGAGAAAATAGAGCGAGACGGGGTAATCGAACGCTCCCACAGCGCCTGGAGCTCTCCCGTAGCCGTGGTTCGAAAAAAGGACGGCAGCTACCGATTTTGTATAGATTTCCGGAGGGTCAACGACGCGACCGAACCCGACGCCTACCCACTGCCCCAGATTACCGCCACCCTCGATAAATTACGCGGCGCGAAATACCTTACCACGCTCGATCTGAAGAGCGGTTACTGGCAGATACCGCTCACGCCGTCCAGTCGACCCATCACCGCATTTACGGTACCCGGGAAGGGGCTCTTCCATTTCAAAGTAATGCCGTTCGGCCTGCACTCCGCCCCCGCCACGTTCCAACGACTTCTAGACTCCGTGCTCGGACCCGAATTAGAACCCCACGTGTTCGTATACCTCGACGACATCATAATAATTAGCGCGACATTCAAAGAACATCTCCGAATCCTACGGGAAGTCTTCCGACGGCTTCGCGACGCAAACTTAAAGCTTAATCCGGCCAAGTGCCGATTCTGCGTAGACCGACTACAATACCTAGGGCATATCGTTGACCGAGAAGGGATACGGACCGACCCCGAGAAAGTCAAAGTAATCGCGGCCACAAACCGTAAAGTAAATCCGACAATTTCTAGGCGTCGCCTCCTGGTACCGGCGATTTATACAGGACTTCGCGACCGTCGCCGCGCCCCTCACCGCGTTAACCCGCAAACACGCCTGGTGGGCATGGGGGCCCGAGGAAGAAAACGCATTCGAACAATTAAAGACAACCCTGACCACCGCGCCGGTTCTCGCTTGTCCGAATTTCACGCGTCGTTTTGTCCTGCAAACCGACGCCAGCACAACCGGAGTAGGGGCCGTACTAACGCAAAATTTCCCGGAGGGCGAACGAGTCATCGCATACGCAAGCCGAACTCTCAATCAGGCCGAACGAAACTACAGCGCGACCGAGCTCGAATGCCTAGCCGTAATATGGGGAATCCGCCGCATGCGGGAATATCTCGAGGGGTACCCATTCACCGTTCTCACGGACCACCAGTCGCTCCGGTGGTTGCAGAAACTCGACGCACCCACCGGGAGACTGGGCCGGTGGGCATTCGAGCTCCAGCAATACGACCTAGAGATCCGCTACAGGAAGGGAGCCCTTAACCGGGTGGCAGACGCGCTATCTCGCCAGCCCACGACAGCCGCCGTTACCCCCCCGCCCCGCTGCCCTTGGTATCGCCGCACGTTGCGCGCCGTACAACACGCCCCGCGCGAATATCCGGACTACAAAATAAAGGAGGGAAAACTACTCCGTCACGTCCTCCACAGTCTCGATTTTAAAGAAACACCCGCCGACGAGCAATGGAAAGAGTGCGTAGCCAAAGACCACCGCCCCGAAATCCTATACCAGAATCACGACGCCCCCACGGCTGGACATCTCGGGATCGCGAAAACAATCGCTCGGATCGCGCAATACTATTATTGGCCCGGCATGTTTCGGGAAATAGCGCAGTACGTCCGAAACTGCTCAAAATGCTTAAAGCATAAAGTCGCGCAAACACGACCAGCCGGCACGCTACACGCCACTTCCGTCGTCCGCCCCTGGCAACAAGTCACGTTAGACTTAATAGGGCCGCTGCCGCGCTCAAAGGGAGGGCATACATGGCTCCTGACCATGCAGGACCGTTTTTCAAAATGGCTGGAGATGCGTCCCTTACGCCGCGCCACCGCGCCCGCCGTCACGACGAACATTGCCGAAGCGATACTGTACCGACACGGATGCCCCGAGGTAATCCTGTCAGATAATGGGACGCAGCTCCGGTCCGCGAAACTTGAAAAAATGCTAGCCGCACATCACGTGCGGCATGCATATACGCCCGTGCACGCGCCACATTGCAACCCGGTAGAACGAACGAACCGCGTAGTAAAGACAATGGTATCCCAATATGTGGACCAGAATCATCGAAATTGGGACGAGCGAATACCGGAGTTGCAATTCGCGTACAATACGGCGCGGCACGAGGCAACCGGATACACCCCTGCATATCTTGTCTACGGTTGCGAGCCGGTATCCCCTCTCAATCAAGACGCCGCACCAAAAACCGCCGCACCGCCGCCCGACGAAAAGCGCCGACATCTCGAGGAGGCCTTCGAACTCGCGAGAATACATCTCGCACACGCGTTCCAGCGACAACAGAAGTATTATAATCTCCGACGACGAGCGTGGACACCAAAAATTGGAGACTGGGTATGGAAGCGTGAGTACCCACTCTCCAATAAAGCCGCAGCATTCAACGCAAAACTCGCGCCGAAATTCAGAGGCCTCCTCGAGGTGCGACGTATAGTATCCCCCGTAATTGTGGACCTGCGCGATAAGAGCGGCAAGTGGATCCGACATATCCACGTACAAGACTTGAAAGCCGCGCCGGAAACCCCCCCTCCAGGCGACGAGACCGGGGACGAAAACGCCGAAACAAACAGCGAGAGCGACAACGAAACCGACGCCGAAAACACCAGCGACCCCGACAACGACACCGAGGACAACAGCGAATATTAAACATTGCCCTATATCCCCTCCCGGACACCCGCTAAATAAACAAAAAGTCGGCTATATAAACGAGCCCCGAAGTCAAAAGACACACTCGAGTCAAATTTCCCGAGATGGAGACAGCCACGACCGAGAAAAGCATCCTCGAGGAGATCGAGGAACTCCTCGCCGAGCCCGTCGTTTACGACCCGGCCTGCCCGGATTTCGGCACGACCTGGACGAAGCTGTTCAACACGGGATCCGCCGCCTCCGCTGCCGCCGCCGCCGAGGCCCCAAGACCCGCAGCAGCTCCGCCGCCACGTAAAAACGTGCCAACGGTCGGATGCATGGTCCAGAGGTCGGACCACCAGCACCGACAAAAAATGGAGTGGCTGACGACCCCGCCACCACCGAGGCCGGCCCGCCGCATCACGGCAGCAACATACTTGGCGCGCAAGACAATCGCCGCCAAGCCGACGCCACCGCCGATCGCACCACCGGCCATACCACCGGCGGAACCACCGGCCGCGCTACCGGCCGCACCGCCTGCCGCACCACCAGCCGCCGAGACGCAGGCACTCCGGCCCGTAGGCCCGCGGGAAACCCCGAAGATCCCTGTGCTTGTGGAGCCGGGCCACGTCATCTTGGTACCCCATGGAGCCGTCCACAACACACGGGAGTGGAAAACCACGGAGAGGGGCTACCGATGGCATGTCCGCTTCAACCACGAGGGGACCGTCCGGAAGATTCGGAAATTACCGGCAAAACCGAGGGCCCGGACCTGAAGCGCCGAATTCGCGCTCTAAGAGGAGGGGGGTGATGTAACGATGCGCCCCGAAATGCATCATTCCCGGCGAGCATCAGCCGGATGCCGCCCGGCCGAACACCCGCCGGGCGAGATAAGGCACGGTGTGTCCTTTTTTAAACTATCCATTTCGCGTATCAGTCCGCAAACGGACTTAGCGCGGCAACCGACTCGGAGCGCCGAGCGGTGCCGAAAACGGCCGAGAGCCACCGAACGCAATCGCGGCGTCGGGGCGCCGTACTTCCCGAACGCTCCACCGCTCCATCCCGGCGCGCGCGATTGCCGTCGCGTATACCCCCGCTACGCCGACACGCCACCGCGGGCGTATATAAACCGAGCAATATTGCTAGGTTTTCAGATTCCACCGTGAGCCAGCAAACCGATCCGACCGATTCTCCGCTGCTCACGGATCCCGAAATCCCCCAGTCGAAACAACCAGGAGGTAGAGAGTATTCTCGGCCTCTGCCGAGTAAAGAATCTAGACGGTTGACTCGAATTTCCATTATACATATTTCGAACACCTGTGACACCGGAGTGAACCAGGGTAAGAGAGTTCTTCTCTTACTCGCCAAGGGTCTTGGCCACCCGGTGCCGCCTCCCGCCTACACGAATCGATGCGCCAGGAAATAGAGAGTACTTCTCTATCTCCGCTAAGGGTCTTAGCCGCTCGATATCACGTCCCATAGCGATCCAGCGCATTATGCGCTCACTGCCGCCGTTATCCAAACCTGCGCTACCGCGCCGAAATACCTCTGCGAGCCCGCACGCCCGCCGATCCGCGAAACTCCGCGATCTCCGTAAATCATCGCTTCACCAGGCGTCCGCACGCTCCGTGATATCTATATTGTAACCGCGTCCGCGACCTATTACACGTATTTAGCGACTCCGCGCTATCTGCATTACACCGCCATTATAAACCGCGCCCGCGATCTATCACACGTAGCCATCGACTCCGCGATCACTGTAATCTGTCGCTATCGTAGCAGCGACCGCGATCTTTTGTACATATGCACCGCTCCCGCGAGCGTCTCCATGTATTCACGCGTAATTGAATAAATACTTTATTTTGTTGTATTATATTTTAACCGAGTCTTGTGTCTTCCTCCGCGCCTACTCCGAACTCTGACCAGCCGCGAGCTAACTCCGCGCTTCGGAAGCTAGGTTGTTTTATGGCGCCCGAACAGGGACCCGACCGAAAGGCTCAGGCACAAGACGCGGGTAAAATGAAGGCGTATTATTATCGGCTGTCCAAAGCCGAGCTAGTAAGCGAACTCCAGACCCTCGGGCTCGACACCGAGGGCACGCTCGAAGAGCTCCGCAACCGATTAAGCCAATTTATCGACGCCCATCCCGAGATGTTCCAGAAAACCGCGTTAGAGAACGACCCCCCGCCGCTTCTGACACTGACCGTGCCTGCCGCGACATCACCGGTGACCATAATTCCGGCCGACCGCCCGGCGCCCCCCGTACCCCCCACCACCCAGATCATGGACCAAATGCGAAAATGGGGACTACACTTTGAGGGAAAGGATTCCTGGGCGTTTCTCGAGCGCATCGACGAACTTCGCGCCGCGTACGAATTCTCGGACGAACACTGGCTCCGCGGATTGCCCGAACTCCTGCGAGGAGACGCGCTCCTCTGGTACCGTAACAACCGCGACGGATGGTTCGATTGGCACGACTTTATCGCGGACTTTAAGGAAACATTCCTACCGCGCCGGTACCGATTACAGCTCGTTAACGAGATCCGCGACCGTACGCAGCGGGACGGGGAGGCCTACATGAAATACGCGACACACTTACTCACGCTCATGCGATGGGCAGGGGGATACTCCACCGAGGAGCAGGTCGAGCAATTATACGAAAATTTGCACCCCGACTACCAGAGCCGCATCTGGCGAGGCGACGTTAATAGCCCTCGCGACCTCCAGCAGCGAGCCAGCGAATACGAAAGGCTTCAGCAAAATCGAAAGAAACGCGCTCCCACGAAAGCCGATCCCGCCGAAACGCCAATCGCCGCCGCCGCGTACAACCGACGAGAATGCTGCTGGAAGTGCAAACAACGTGGACACACCCGATTCGATTGCCGT